AAGGTGAGGATTCATTTGAATTTCACAGGCAGACGGAGGGGATCATGCTGTCTTTTGGAATACAGAAGGTATTTAGTTAACAAACAGCTGCTCCTGTCTAAACACAAGAGGGAGAATCGGATGAAAGAAGCGATATAGTAATATTTTTTTTAGTGGTTAAAAAAAATGTCTACAGCGGCGTCGATAGATCTGTGTTTGAGGACAGCATGGGGGAGCTAAACACTCTCATAAATATTCCAGCTCCTCATTTTATGTTGGCATTTTCATAGGAAATTAGCAAATAGACATTTAAAGGAGTAATTCAAAGTGGAAGAAAAGCTCGTGCGTTTCTGAACTGTGGATGAACTGCAGCAAAACGCAGAGTTCTTCCTTGAGCCGCTTCAGCAGACAAACTGCTTGAAGAAACAGTAATGGCAGCAAGTTTGGTAGACCATTAGCCATATTCATTCTCAAGTGCAATGACTCGTAGCAGCCAATCAGAATCCATCTTGTACCGTACTGGTCTGATGTCAGAAAAAGCAATTCTCATTGGCTCCACTCTTACAAATTACAAATGCTTACTGCATACGACTGTTGGTAGTAAAAATCAGAGACGAAGATAAACATGTCTGAAAAAGAACTGTGCTGCCCAAACCAGCTATTCAGAGTCACCATTTTCTTTTTTTGCTTCCAAACCAGGCTGTGTGCATCCGTAGACACACACAGTACAGTTCGTCCATGCTCCCTCCCATGGCTCCCGCTGCTCTTAGAGTATCCTGAGGGAAGAGGAAGAGAGCAGTGCTCTGGCGCTGGATCAGTAGAGGAACCAGGTAAGTGTTTAGGGATGTAACTAGTGCAAATTCCTGAATTTGAGTTGATATCATCTCTCAGATTGGGAAGCAGCAGAACTGGGAGACAATCAGGTGTGGTGCATGCAAATGTGCTGAAAAAAGGACATGCTGACAGAAGAAAAAAGTAGAGTAAACAGGGGGGATGACCTCTTCAGCCTCCTACTGCACTTTATAAAAAAAACATAGGGCATGAAATATTTTAGGCAACCCAAATTCCACTCGCCACATGGGTTTTGCCACTAAAACCAAAATACAAACAAAAAGAAAGAAATTTCCTGTAAAAGAATTACCTTGGAATAAAGCAGTTTACTCAGTGGCAATAATTGTGGCTGGATTTTATATATTTAAATATACTTTATTAGTATCCTGCTGCACTTTCACTGTCTAGCCAGCCAGCTGGAGGTGAAGAGAGGACATCACTATATCTATTCTGCAGGCTATAGCTGTAACAGACAACATGGTGTCATCCACCTGGCTGTGGTGTGTGGCAGGGTTGTACAAATCTTAGGACTGGAAGTACAGAAACACATTTCTTTTTGGCTTCCTTATATGTATTACATCTGTGTATTTAGATGTTTCCCTGGAGCTTAGATTCAAGGCTAGTGTCCTTTCAAAGCCAACTGCCCCTTAAAGACATTATAAACCCTCTTACTTGCACCTTATATTTTCCAACTGCATAAGATGTGCATTGATTATGTAGTTTCATGGTGTCATTTGTTGCCCTGTATGCACAGCCTATAGTAGAGTAAATCCTACAATCCCTGGGTCTCTCAGTATAGTATTTTGTAGGTAAAGGCCGTACAGTAATTAGATCTGATATAAGCAGGCAGAGCAATGAAGGGAACAGTTGTTTTTCATCACATTAGCACTCCCATATTTGTGATGTAACACAGAGGAAATGGCCAGGCATGGATTGGGACCTGGAACAAAAAGTTACCTGTCCCTTTAACAGATAGGGACAAGCTAGGTGACTGAATACATGGACATGCAGAATCAGCCATGACACTACATACTGCAGTCCATCATTACAAAGAAAGGCAAAGAAATGACACAGGGAATATAACTACACTCATAGCTAGGTAAAACAACAAAAATATTTGAAAGTGTACAATGCCTTTAAATCTACAGCCATCCTCAATTTGGATACTTTCAAGCATGATTGGTTTACTTAGAGGCATACAACATGGTCTTCTCCATTGTGTCTGAGAGTCAGGTTCTACTGCAGAGGCATCCGTGGCATATTCACTTAAAGGCTGCCTATGCTGCTGACTAAACCCTGCAGAAAATGAACATTAAGAGGCGATTTTGGAAATAAATGACATATGTCCCCCTGACTGGAGGGGGAAATGTTTCAATTAATGCAAATAAATTACCTTTTTCCAAGTTAAATAAAAGCTAATAACATTGAGACAGCCCCGTGCATTGCAGATTTATGCTAACCAGTGCCGTCTCATGTATGATGAAGCACTTTAATGTCATATTAAAAAAGAGATGAAATGAAGGTTTAACGAGAGTGGCGTCCCTATGACAGATATGAATTTCCAGCCTAAGTATGAGGCCAGGCCTCCAGGTCTATGGGAACTTAGTTACTAATAAATTACTGATAATGCAGAGATGGAGGCAGGAAACGGTGACACGTAGGATGTGAGGAATTACAACATTGTTTTTTTTTTTTACGTGGGAGATTAAACATCCTCCTACTGCTGTCTATTAAATTTTCTCTGCAAAGACCAAGAGTTATGGCTTGGTGTACACAGTTACCGAAGCCTGCAAAACAAGAACAATTGTTCTGCCATGTTGTTCCATTTAGAGATGTTAGGCAGAGAAAGATTTAAGTCAAATGGGGCCGGATAAAAAGCTTTGGCTCCTCCATTCCTTCAATTGTCTGTACTAGCATGGTCTCCAACTGCCTACAATGCAGCCTCCATTTTGAAATGCAGGCAGGTACACAGCCTTGACCAATGGTGTGATCCCCCCTGGTTTACTTCAGGAGCATGAAGATTGTAACCGGACCCCTGGACAGCCACCGGGCCCTAAGCTTCTGCTTATGATGTCTTGGAGACACTTTAGCTCTGATGAAAGCTTATAGCTTCCATCTTCTTCATGGTACACTACTTGTTGGATATCAAGGAGTGCACAGATCAGCCAACCAGAAATGGATAGCAACGAGTGCACAGATCAACCAACCAGAGATGGTTATCAACGAGTGCACAGATCAGCCAACCAGAAATGGATAGCAACGAGTGCACAGATCAGCCAACCAGAGATGGATATCAACGAGTGCACAGATCAACCAACCAGAGATGGATATCAACGAGTGCACAGATCAAACCAAACCAGAGATGGATATCAACGAGTGCACAGATCAACCAACCAGAGATGGACATCAACGAGTGCACAGATCAACCAACCAGAGATGGATATCAACGAGTGCACAGATCAACCAACCAGAGATGGATATCAACGAGTGCACAGATCAGCCAACCAGAGATGGATATCAACGAGTGCACAGATCAACCAACCAGAGATGGACATCAACGAGTGCACAGATCAACCAACCAGAGATGGATATCAACGAGTGCACAGATCGACCAACCAGAGATGGATATCAACGAGTGCACAGATCAGCCAACCAGAGATGGATATCAACGAGTGCACAGATCAACCAACCAGAGATGGATATCAATGAGTGCACAGATCACCCAACCAAGATGGATATCAACGAGTACACAGATCAGCCAACCAGAGATGGATATCAATGAGTACACAGATCAGCCAACCAGAGATGGATATCAACGAGTGCACAGATCAACCAACCAGAGATGGATATCAATGAGTGCACAGATCACCCAACCAGAGATGGATATCAACGAGTACACAGATCAGCCAACCAGAGATGGATATCAACAAGTACACAGATCAACCAACCAGAGATGGCTATCAACGAGTACACAGATCAGCCAACCAGAGATGGATATCAACAAGTGCACAGATCAGCCAACCAGAGATGGATATCAACGAGTGCACAGGTCAGCCAACCAGAGATGGATATCAACAAGTGCACAGATCAACCAACCAGAGATGGATATCAACGAGTGTACAGATCAACCAACCAGAGATGGATATCAACAAGTGCACAGATCAACCAACCAGAGATGGATATCAACAAGTGCACAGATCAACCAACCAGAGATGGATATCAACGAGTGCACAGATCAGCCAACCAGAGATCAACATTAGAGCAAAGTAGAAAACTGAAGTATCATTTTGCTTCTAAAAACTGCAGGAGACAATAGAATCAAAATCTCTATATTTTTGTAGGCAGAGGATAATACATGGATATAAACCATTCCAGTGTACTTACAGAACTCGTTCTAAATAAGTGCTAATGAGAGGTTCTGCCTTTACTAAAAAATGGCAAAATTAGTCCTAGTGGGAAATAGTGCCTTCTTGGCAACGCTTTAGATTTATACTTATTCAGCTGAAGGTGAACCCCGTATTCTAAGCTGGCTGTATTACAAGCACCAGTTCTATGCAGAGCTGTGTAACCTTCATGAGGGATGAAGACTCTGGGAAATCCTGTTTACAGACAGAATATTGTTGACATTGCTGAAAGGAAGGATAATCGGTCTTTTAACAAATCTAACAAATATGGCTGTTTGAAAATTACATTCTGCACACACATACAGCTATTCTTTGTTTACTATTCATGTCAAGTAAACTCATAGCGAAGAAAGGGATCTCCCCAGCTCCCCCAACTCAGGTGAGAACATCTAGTGTACCAACATAGGGCTTGTCCTGATACATTTAAGAAGTTATGGAATAGCTGGCTGGAGACACCAAGACTAGCTCCTCTTCAGTTAATCCTTGATAGGCTTCTAAGCCAAGACACATATGCCAAGCGCTATTAGGCAAAAGCTGTACGTATTTTCAGTACTATATATCCTATGTAGAAAATAAGTAAAAATCTGTACACCATTTCTGATTCTTTTTCTCAATTGCTTTTTGATACCATAAGATACATGGATGAAGATGTGATATTCTACTAGAGGAGAGACATTTACAATTTAACTGTTCTTAGTTTGTATTGATATTGTTATAGAGGATGAGTATACTCTTGGTGGTACAGGCCTGGACCCTGAATCGTAACCAGGGGCGGACTGACAACTCATGGGGCCCCCGGGCAATAGGGGATCATGGGGACCCTGTGTCCTCCTCGCCCACACTCAAACCACACCCAAAAAAGCCTATAAAAGGTACCACGGGCATCTCATGGGGCCCTTGGGCAATGCCCCAGTTCTCGAATGGTCAGTCCGCCCCTGATCGTAACCCTTTAATGATACTGTATACAGTATCTTAGATTCTTCTGTGCTTATTTACATATGGAAAAGCACAGCACTTACTATATAAGACAGGTGAACTTACTTACATGTGTATGAGTTGAACATACAACGTTGTCCAGCTCTGTACCTATGTTATTGTTACTTGGCTTGCTTTTTGGCCTCTGATTTGGGCCTATCTGAACAGTATTATAAAAACTTTTTTATCCAATAAAAGAAAGGCTACACTGTTCATTAAAGAACATATAAATCTAAAGTTCAGCTTAAAAAAAAAACCCCTGCAGCTTTTTTCACATGACTTACCTGTGATGAAGTTCCACGTTGTGCAGCTGAATCCTGATAAACTTTTCACTGAACGGATTCCTGTCTCTGAACTACTGGCGCTGCACGGTTACCATCTTTGGGTCTTCAGGTAGAACAAAAAGATCTTTCATTGATTAAACTGCCTGTTTGTCAATGAAGGAGAGTCTGATCAGTCACATGATTCTCTCTTCCATTCAAAGATTGTGTTACAAGCAGTGTAATCAACTTTTCTCAATAGAGGAGGGAGGAGGAGGAGGAGGCGTGTCCCTGTGGAACCATCTGGACTACTGTCCTGCCTAAAGACCCAAAGCTGTTAACCTCTACAGTGCCAGCAGTTCAGAGACATGAAGAGGACAGGGCAACCCTGCAGTGAAGATTTCTTCACGGTTCTACAGGTAAGAGATGTGACTAAAGCTGTAGAATTCTTTTTTTTTTTAGCCAAACTTTCAATGTTAACTGGAAGAACCTACGATTGCTAAACCACTGTGTATCATACACAATAAAAAAAAAAAATAAGCCCAAATCTGGACAAAAACTACTTTTTTATGCATCCAACCAAATTCAATCCAAATGCAGGGACAGAGTGTTGTCGCCCTATAACAGGAAGTGATTGAACAAGCAAAATAAGCAGATTTATGAATATTGAAATGATCTTTGCACTTTAAAGCATTTAGAATGCACTGTGCATCCATAATCATACTCCTTAGTCTTGATTACAAACCCCTCTTCCTAAGCCATCCTGCAATGCATTGGATCAAATTTACAGTTTCCTCGGTGAACAAATCTAATATCCTACCCTGGAGACCAGTAATTTTTTCTTATTTCTTCTTTAGCATTAGTCTCCTCACCACCTCCATGAGTTCTCCTGCCTTGGTAGCCTATGAGAGAGGATCTGGCCACTGGAAGCATGCCTGCACCAATAGTTGGTGTGCACATCAAGCAGGCAGTGATGTGGACACCCAAAGGACTCTAGGAGGGAAGGAGGAGAAGAAGAAGAAGAAGAAGAAGAAGACAAAAGGATCTTCATGTGACCATGGCTTCAGGTCAGTTAGTGGATATTTTTTTTTTCTCCAGATGTAGGTGGGATGGTGGTTGTTAATATCCTCGAGTTGGACTTCAATCATTTGGGTTTACATGTGCTTTAAGGTCCTGCTAGGATAGCAGACATGTTTTAAGCACTTTCCTCTTGCTAATGTACTTTCCCTTAGAAACGAGTACATAGAATCTCCTAGTGGCCTTCTATTACTAGAAAAGTGCAGCAACCTACAGTGAACAAGCAGCAGATTCATTGTGGCATGTGATGCTTGTGTGTACAGAGCCTATAAATACTCCTTCTTGCCTACAGAAGAGACAATTTCACCGGGGGGCTGCTCATCCTCTGTTGCTAATGGTGAAATTCCATGACTGTCTATTTCAGAACCAACCAATCTGGCATGTTTTAATGAGTCTGATGACAGGTCAATTCATGCTTCTCATGGGCCATTGTCAACTACCACTTTACTAGGTAAGCCTTTTATTATTTTCCTATTACTGTTAAGTGCTGCATAATGATGCTCAGTTTGGTTGAATACAACTTTCCACAACTAGTAGAAAGACATATTTGCATCATCATTCTCAATTAGTGTGAAATGCAGATAGAGACTATCGTGTAAATCACTGTTCATTAGTGTGATTTTTAGGTTCAGCTTCGGGTCATATTAGAAACCCAAATCCACAAATTTTAAGAGCCGTGACCAAAACACAGGGGCTTGACTAGGTTTTAATTGTATATTTAAATCATATGTATTTATATTGAAAATCCTGAAGAAAAAGGTATTTTGAAGACATAGCGGTTTAAAAAAAAATAGGTCATTACATGACTTGCTTTCCAGCAAAAAGTCAAATCCAATTATGTCCCATTTACTTGTAATTGCCTGTAATGATTTTTTTTCCCCTCCGCGGTGACAGAGAGCGGAAGCGCGGTGACCTGTGGCAGGCTTGGGCTGCACCTTGGCTTGCAATCAAATCAATTGTTTCAGATATGTTTGCACAGACATTGCAAGGAAGGGGGTCTTACCTGAGGTCAGGAGAGATTATGCATGCGTGAGGAGCTGCTGGTAGCTCAGTGACGTGACCGCACGGATCTCACTAGTAGGTAGGACATAATGGGTTTCTTGTATGTATATAAATTATGTACAGGACCAAACAAACAAAGCAGAAACCCTTACTCCATGTGGTTTCTTACACTTAGATCTTCATTTTCAATATCTTTATATATCTATATTTTACCAACAGTCCTGGGTTTGGGCTACACTGGAAACTGGTTCTGTTTTCAATGCTTTAGCATACGCTTTGCATGGATTAGGGATGTTGATTATTTTTTCCTGAAATTAGATCTATCAATGCCAACCTGTAGAGTCCAAAAAACTAAAAAAAACAACAAGGTTACCATCGGAGCGGAATGACAACTCATGGGGCCCCTGTGTCCTTGCCCAAACTCAAAAAAGCCTATGAAAAAGGTACCAGGGGCATATCATGGGGCCCCCTACTGACCTCAGGCCCTCGGGCAGTGCCCGAGTTTCCAAATGGTCAGTCCGCCCCTGGTTACAATCACGAGTGCCAGATGCAAAAGACAGTCCAGCTCTGGCTTGTTGCATTCTCTGTGTGTCCTGTATGGTCAGTGGTCCTATGACTGTCACTGCCCCCACATTAGTGGTCATTACAGTGAATGGGATAGCGCCACCCAAAGTGGCCTGCAATATTCTGGTTAGCATGGTGCAAAGTAATGCACGCCAAATGAAAGAGTGTACAATCTACCATAAACTGGGCTTTTTTTTGGTGCCTGTGTAAAGGAATGATGGAAAAGGTCCCCAACCAACCCTCATGTCCAAGTTAACCACTTCAATACCGGGAACTTTTACCCCCTTCCTACCCGGGCCAATTGTCAGCTTTCAGCGCTGTCGCACTTTGAATGACAATTGTGCAGTCATGCAACACAGTACCCATACGAAGTTTATATCATTTTTTTTCACACACACAAACAGAGCTTTCTTTTGGTGGTATTTAATCACCACTGAGCTTTTTATTTTTGGCTAAATAAGAAAAAAATCGATCAATCCTGGTGTACTGACAGCTGAACTCATTTCTTAAGGTCCAAAAATAGAAAGTATACAATACAAGGTATTTAAATTGTAATTTTTTGTCATAATTTTTTGGAAAATGAAAAAAAAAATTAATTTTTTTTTTTTATTGTCACCAGTTCAGAACAGAATTGTCATAACTGCAGTGACAAAAGTAAAAAAAAACAAATTTGATTTTTTTTTCAATTTTTTCTTTTCAAAATTTTTTTTTCTTTTATTTACAATTTTTTTTTCCAACACACTATGACCAGAGCAATACAACGTTACCATAGTAACACTGTACTACTCTGGGGAAGTAATCAGGATTTTTTTTCTTCTTTTTTTAAATTATGATTGCTTATAATCTCATTGATATAAGCAAATACTTTTACTGAATGAAACTGATTAATTCAATGTCTTTTGTTGTGATTAGCTGTGATTGGCCAAAGTTAATCACATGGTACAGTAAGGCTGTGATTGGCCCTGTCTGTACTATGTGATTGCTGTGGCCAATCACAGCTAACAACACCATTGTATACAATGGATAGCATGAAAGGAAGCCATCCATTGTTTACAATTGCCATGTGATCTTCTCTGATTTGTTACACTGGCAGCGGGTCAGTGTAGTGAGCAGCCCCTTCTGAGAGGAAGTCAGGAGGAGCGTCCCACCCGGCTGTCAATCTGCTACAGCCCCTTCTGAGAGGAAGTCAGGAGGAGCGTCCCACCCGGCTGTCAATCTGCTACAGGCGGTGCAGGAAAGTTTTAAAGAGGTTCTGTGGTTTGCCAAGCTGGCTATACACTAGTAGAATTTTGTTTGACGTTCTGTTTTAAGAAAATTTGTTTGATTTTCTAATCATTAGTTGCATCATATCGACATTCATTTTTGACCACAGTGATGAGAAAATTCACAATAGCAGTATGGAAATGTTTTCTCATATGAGCACATTTCTATCAGTGTATGCATTTTTTGTTTGGGAAATGATATTCATTCTAAAATCAAATGTTAAAAGCTAAAAAAAATTTGCAGTACTTTATGAAGCATTGGTCCAGTCATCGAATGTACAAAGTGTTCATCCAAAACTCTACTAGTGTATAGCCAGCTTTAAATTTCTTCAGTGATTTATAATCATTTAATTTAGCAGGACGTTAAGTGCCTCTAAGATACATTTGCACGTGTCTATTTTTGCGTATGAAAATGCATATAAAGCAAAGATTCCAATTCTTATTATGTGGCTAGTTCACATCTGCTGCAGCCTAATGTGTTTTTAAAAAAAAAAACTAGGACATGCAACAATTTTGTGTGCTTATGAATTTTTTTTAATAAAAAAATGATTCTGGATGTTTTTCCCTCCTTTTGCACAATGAAAGCATAAAGATACATTTAAAATGCATACCAGCATGCAATAACCCACATTAAAAATATGCTTTACTCCATGGCCACAGAGTGAAAGAACTGTAATTCAAATCCAGTGGACTCGACGTGTATCCTTCCACAATGAAGCCTATTATTTCTGTGACCTGTAAATGTTCACTTCACGGAAAGTTTATATTTAATTTTAATGATTCAAATGAAAAGAAGAAAACGTTGGCAATTGGAGATCGAGCTACAGAACAAAGGCTATAGGCTCTGTGGGCTTTTACTTGTTTTGTGCTGACCCTGGGATTACTGAACAGGAACAAGAAGGAACAAAAAAGACCTGGAACTTTAGGACTACTTGTTCCAAAACGTATGGCAATTGGTGCTGAGATCGGGAACAAGAAGGAACTACAGAACAAAGTGCTATAGGCTCTGTGGGCTTTTACTTGTTTTGTGCTGACCGGGATTACTGAACAGGAGCAAGAAGGAACAAAAAAGACGTGTGCAATGGAGATCGGGCTAAGAACTTTAGGACTGAACACAAAAAAGACCTGGAACTTTAGTTTGTTCCAAAACGTGTGCAATTGGAGATCGGGCTATAGAACAAAGGCTATAGGCTCTGTGGGCTTTTACTTGTTTTGTGCTGACCCCGGGATTACTGAACAGGAGCAAGAAGGAACAAAAAAGACCTGGAACTTTAGGACTACTTGTTCCAAAACGTGTGCAATTGGAGATCGGGCTACAGAACAAAGGCTATAGGCTCTGTGGGCTTTTACTTGTTTTGTGCTGACCCTGGGATTACTGAACAGGAGCAAGGAACAAAAAAGAAGGAACAAAAAAACGACCTGGAACTTTAGGACTACTGACCCTGTTACTGAAAAGTAAGAGCTTCATGTTTCTAACCTGATTTCATACTGTATTCTGTGCCATGCAACGCCAAAAAGCATGCTTGGCCTTATGGTCCCATAACAGCAGCTACCCTTCACACTTCTCAGGAAGTCTCTAATTCTTTAGGTTACTCACTGATCCCAAAGAAACAAGACAGTGCTACCGACTAATTGTGACTCAACAGGTCAAGCATTCTCAGTCCATGATAACAAGTGTCAACTTATTATTATTGAGATTATAGCTTCTTCAGGAGTAACTACATAAGAAAAAAGTAGTAAATATAAATATAACAGCATAACATGTTATATTGTCCATTCATGTTCCCTGACACAGTATTTTTGTTTGGATCAAGATTTTATGTATCTACGAGATTTGTAACTGCATAGAATGTACCACCCCAATGGAGGTCCTACATTCTTAGCAGATGTTTTTCAAGTACTGTTGCATAACTGTGTACATCCAATAAAGAAAGGTTTTAATGAATATTGTTGCAGTGCCTCTAAAGTCCAAATTTCTGGTCTTCTTCTTTTTGGTTGGTCTAAAAAACACAACATGAAAACATGAATCCATCCTGCCTTGTATCAACGGTTCAGGCTGGTGGTGGTGATGGTGGAATGGTGTGGTGGAGATTTTCTTGATAAGGAGCAAGGTGTACCTAATAAAGTGGCCAATGAGTGTATATGACAATTTTCTGGTTTAAATCACTCAATTTCATAATAAAAAATTAATCAAGGCAACCTACTACCAACAGTTGATTCATGTGTGTCTATATGGCAGAGGTGCTGGTGGGTTGTATTCATTTGCTTGCAAATGAAAACTGGTTGGATTTGACAGAAAACTGCTGTGTGTGTGCGATGGCCAGCATGACCTCCTAAAAGTCCAAATGTTATGGATTATGTTTCTGGATTGTGAATAAAAATGAATCTGAACAATTAAATTGGTAGTTTACATGTACCAAGATGAGGCTGGAGTAGCTGGATAATATGTTCATCATTCTAAAAGGTATCCAAGACATAACCCAACACCCACAACCCATGGGTGACCAACTTTTCGCCTCACCATATAACACATTAATGAAAGTAAACAACTCACAGGCAATTACATTTGTCTACTGGCAGCAACTACTAAAGAAATCACAAGTATTATGCTGTAAGGCCACAACAACAGCATGGCGCCCCCCAATGGCTGCCAAGAAGTAAACATACAGAGCTGGAGTGTATACCAAAGAGCAGCCTCTCCCCCCAACCTAATGTCGCTTGTATGATTAGTCCTTTGAACTCCAGCTGAGGAAGGTGTTTATTAGTTGAGTGCTCTTAGTGTAATTCAGCCTTGATATTTCTTAGGAGCAAAAAGTGTGCATCCAGGCAGCCCACTCTGCTTTTCAACCTCCCAACCTCTAAAAAGGGATCCACAATTAGGATCAATCTCCCCAGGCACCTCTTGTGCTTTGTTGCTAATAAGCCCTTTCATCTTGCACATAGTAAAGAGCATCCAATGTCCTTAATAAGCGGAGGACGATCGGCTACCTTTCCCCGCGCTGATTTTTACACGGCTCCCTCTTGAAAGGGGACTTTGCAGTCTTTAATGAATCTTCTGCAGTATATATTAAGCAATCAGAAGATTACAAAACACGCTTGTCTCTCCTATTTAGTCCATTTATCTCCATCTTACGTTCCACTTTCCATCTCTTGAAAGACAGGCGGTGGCAGATTTGGGTCACCCAGAGAGCCGCTCTCTGATAATGTCTTTTAATGGACTCGGTTTTACTTAACCTCTCATTGCTGCCTGGCCCTGGACACGATCAAGGCTGTTATATTGAATTGGGTTCTGAATAATCATGACAGGTCGGTCAATTTAATTGATCTGGCCTTCCTCTGCCCCCAAAGACCCTCGGCATGCTGCGAAGGGATACAGGGCCGCCTCGCTGGAATGGGAACCATGCTGAGCTTGCATATGGAGTGTAATGATTGAATCCTGCAGGAGCTGCCTACAGATTCTAACAGTGAAGATGTAAGAAAACACAATGGCACGTGCATGGCTGTATCTATGACAAAGTAGCGTGCCAAGGACAGGACATGAATGACTTTTTCTGTGTTTGTACTTTATAGAGAACTCGTGTTGCACAAAATGTTCGCCCAGCCATTCACTAGAGACAACATACAGGAAAAAGACAAATAAATCCCTACAGTGACCAGTGATATCAAAAAAGTTTTTATCATATCATTATCATAAAAAAATCAGCTTACCTATTCATGTGATCACTCCAAATGAAACTAGTTTATTCACCACAGACCAATGACATCACTGAAAATGCAGCCTATCCATTCACTAGAGACCAGTGACATCACTGGGAGAATGCAGCCTATCCATTC